CACCACTTGCACCCACCAATCCTCCCCAACGCACCCTCCCTGCCCCCGTTGCCTGAATGGAAACCAATCTACACTCTTCGCCGGCGCGCTTTCCACTTTCGCTTTTCTGCTTCCCCTCCCCTTGCCCCTCCTCCGCTTTGATGGCCCGCCGGGTCCGACGCATGTCGCCACGCTGCCCGCGTCCCTGCCGCCCAGCATCGCACCACTCAGGTTGCTCACCCCGTTTGGTTGAGCCCGCCATGTCTGGCACAGCCCCACACTCTCCTCAGCACCTCGGCGCAAACCTCGGCGCACCTCTCTGTACCAGTTTTTCAGGAATCACTTTGCACTGTCACGTGGCCTCATGTTGAGAATCCATCCAGTGCCACTTCTCTGTTCTTCTGTCCCGCCTGCCAGCCACATTCTGGCTCCGATCGAAATTCAAACAACCAAACTGCGCGCATGGGCCACGATACCCCATTTTTACTGCTGTTTTTAGCATGTAACGCGATTTTTTCACAGTCAACACAGGCATGAGGGTTGAGCGCGGCGGGAGTTGGGCGGGCACTGGCCATGTATGCTGCACAGGCTGTTGGAGGTGGGCCGTGGATGCGTGGCCAGATGCAGCGCGCCAGAACCCATGTTCCATACTCCTGTGCGATCTTGCAGCAGTTGGAAGGTTGTGCCTCGCTGGCGCTGTGGATCCAGCTGGAACCTGGCACCTCACCCTTCACTCCATCCTCTGCTACGGAGGAGCCGCTGGCAGTGCTGTGGCTGCTGGCTCCTTGGACGACCAATAGGTTGCCCGCTGCCAGCAACCGGTCGAAGCCAGCACGGAGGCTTGAACAGCATGCCTCTGAAGCAGCAGCGTTGGCTGGATGAGCAGGAGCGCAGGGGGGAGGAGGGCCTGGCACAGCCCCTGATCCCTGTGCCTGCCGCCGGCACCACCACCACGGCGAGCACCGCCGCCGCCAGATCTGCGTCCTTCGTCCTCCCCACCCCCTTCCGCAACGCGGCGCCGGCGTCTGGCGGCGGCGAGGGCGGCGGCGGGCTGCCTCCGGCCAAGAAGGCGGGGGGCGTGCTGCGTGACAAGCACGGTGAGGAGGCGTCGCAGGCGCAGGCGCTGCGTGCGAGGCGCTGCCGCCGTCGCCGGCCTCCTCCCTCTCCACGCCACCGGTGCCACCTGCTCCCCTGCACCCTCCCCCTGCAGGCAAGTACCGCACCCTGTACGACCAGCGCGCCCGCACCACGGTGCTGGTCAACGTGGCTGGCATCCTGGAGCGCTGCAACGAGCAAACGCTGCCCGCGCTGTACAAGGCACGCGCGCGGCGGCACCCTTGGCTGGCCTCCCAGCATGCCTGCCTGCCAGCGGCTTGCAGTGCGCAGCAGAAAGCCGGCGCCCAGCCCCCGCACTCTGAGCGGAGAAGAGGAATGCGCCCCACCCCCTGCCCTTTCACCTGCCCCCTCGCCTTCCCGCTCCTGCCCTCCACGCGCCGCCCGAGCCGCAGTATGTGGGGCGCAGCTTCCGCGCCTCCCCCCGCCAGCTGGGCTTCATCACGCTGGCCTGCGCGCTCGTGCAAGCGGTATGCGCCCCCATCGGCGGCCTGTTGGGCCACTACCTCAACAGGTGGGGGCAGGCGGGCGGGCAGCAGGCTGGGGCGCGGGCTGGGTGGGGGACCGGCAGCGGGGCAAGCTGGAGCGCACGGTGGTGCAGGCATTCAGCTGGTGGCCACCCGCGCAGCGACTCTCCCCCAAGCGTTGCCCGTGCGGTGCGAGGCGCCGCCTGCGTGCAGGGCGCACGTGATGGCTGCCGGCTGCTTTGTGTGGGGGGTCATGGCCATCGGCTTTGCCTTCACAAACACCGTGGCGACAGGCATGTCCTTCTGGGCCTTCAACGGCGTGGGCCTGGGCCTGCTGCTCCCCAACGCCCAGTCCCTCATAGCAGACTACTTCTCAGGTGGGTGGGCGGAGGCGGTGGGGCGCAAGCAGGCGCGGAGGCGGCGCGCTCGGAGCTCGCGCTCAGCTCGGCGCTCGCGCAGATGGCAGCAGCCCTCGCTGATGCGTTGTGTTGCCCTGGCGATGCGCCTGCCCTGCATTGATCGGTGCGGCCTCGCTTGTGCCACGTGCAGCGCTCAGCCGCGGCAAGGCCTTTGGCGCGCTGTACCTGACGAGCGCGCTGGGCGGCATGCTGGGCGCGCTGTTTGCCACCAACATGGGCCACACGCACCCCTTTGGCATGCAAGGCTGGCGGGTGGCCTTCATCACAGGCAAGCGCGGGGTCCGCAGTGGCGGGTCGGCCGATGCCTTGCACCAGGCTAGTCTCCTGCTGCCTGATGGGCTCGGGCGTACGGGCCTGGGTGCGGTGCCCGCTCACCTCCCCTGCCCAGTGCGTCCCGCCTTCCAGTGGGCGCGGTCAGCCTGCTNATCGGCGTGCTCAACCTGCTGTTTGCGGTGGACCCGCGGTACAAGCTGGAGGACCCGCAGTACAGGTGGTGGCTGCCCCTCGTGCTCCTCGGCCCGCACACCAGGGCTCTTTGCCGCCATGGCGTGGCGTGGCGTCCTGTGGGCATGCCCCATCAGCTGCCATGTGCGCACCCGCGCACGGCTGCTCCAAGCCAAGCCATGCATCACCCATTACGTCATCCCTGCGCGCGCCCACGCACACTAGCAACACGCCCCGGGGGGTGCAGGCAGGACCCTGACCTGATGGCCGTGGCCACCCCCCGCGCCATGCTGGCCGACATCTCCTCCGTACTGGCGGTGCCCTCCTTTGTCATCGTGGTCACCCAGGGCATCGTGGGCAGCACCCCCTGGAACGCCCTCGTCTTCAACACCCTCTACCTCCAGCTCCTCGGCTTCTCAGACTTCCAGTCCTCGCTGGTGGCGGCCCTGTTCCTGGGTGGCACCGCGTTCGGAGCCCAGGCGCGCTCGCGCCCACGCCATGCGGCCTGCGCGCCCTCGCCGCCTGCATGTTTCACACGAGCCGCCGCCGGCACGCGCCGGGGCCAGACCTGCCTGAGCGATTGCTGCTCGCACTGTCATGCAGCGGGCTGGCCTGAGACGCGGCAGCCGCTCCCGCTCCTGCCCATGCCCTGCGTGCAGCTGGGCGGCTTCATCGGCGACTGGGCCGCGCGGCGCCACCCCAGCCACGGCCGCGTGGCGGTGGCGCAGGTGTCGGTGGGGCTGGGGGTGCCGCTGTCGATCGCCGTGTTCAAGGTGGGGTGCCCGCGTGTTGTATGGTGTGCGTGTGGAATGGCCGGCCAGGGGGCGCCGCTTAATGCCTGCCCGGCTGCATCTGCTGCCGCATCGCCACACCACCCTGTGCACGCCCACCCCTGCCCGCAGCTCCTGCCCATGGGCAGCAGCGGCGGCATCGTGGCGCTGTACGGCGTGGCTTTCACGATCTGGGGGCTGATGATCAGGTGGGCGGCGAGGGGCGCGGCGCAGCACGGCAGCAGCATGCACAATAAGCTTGCATGTATTGAATGGGGGCTGCCGGGATGATCCGCCGCCATTTGCTGCCACCCTCAAATACCCGCCCCCCCGTGCCCGCTGTGCCTGCCCGCGCCCCCTGCAGCTGGGCGGGCGCCGCCTGCACCTCCCCCATCTTTGCAGAGGTGGTGCCCAGCCAGCTGCGCTCCCTGGTCTACTCATTCGACCGAGCCTTTGAAGGCGGGACCCGCCCGCTGGCTGCCAGTGCTCTGGGGGCCTGCCTGCAAGAGCGCCTGCCCTGTGGCCTCAGCACCTGCCTGGCGCCTGCCCTGCCCAACACTGTGCTGGCTGGCCTGTGCGTGCCGTGTGCGGCACGGCAGCACAGGCAGCCCCACAGCTTGCTGCTGCCCCTGGCACACCGCCACCCGGCCCGCAGGTGCGGTGGCCGCCTGCGGCGCGCCGGTCGTGGGCTGGCTGGCGGAGCGCCTGGGCTTCAACAGCGCGGAGGGCGGCGGCGGGCAGACGGATGCGCAGCGGGCACAGGCGCTGGGCGACGCCATTGTCATCTGCACCGCCGTGCCCTGGGCCCTCTGCTGCCTGCTGTACTCTGGTGAGGGGCGCAGGCGGCGAGAACAGCCACCGCCAGCAGCGAGCCGCGTGCCGCCCCGCACCCTGCCCTTGTGACAGCGCTCGCTTCCCTCTTGCGCACCAGCAGCAGCCTGTGACCCCCAACCAACGGCCCCCACCCTGCTCTGCGCTGCACTTCCGCAGGCCTGCACGTCACTTACCCCCGAGACCGCCGCCTGGCGCTGCGCTCGCAGCGCACCCGCTCCGGCTACGCCCCCCCCCTGCCCTCCCTGCCCATGGCGCCCTCGGCAGAGGTCTGGGAGGCCACGCCCAGCGACTCGCCCACCGCGGCACAAGCCGCGGGCACCGTGGGCCCTCGCGTCAGCTTCATCGATGGCCGCCCCGGCGAGTAGCCCTGAGGGCCCCTGCGCCTCAGCCAGCCTCGGCGCTGGCAGCCGCTGCATGCACCGAATGCGTCACACCTGTGGCCGTCACGCTCCCCACTTGAACCCGCTACTGGCTTCTTGTTCCTCTGCTGCTTATGCCCACACTACTGCCTGGTGAGCATGCAATTACACCTGTGCCTGGTCATCCTGCCCGTCGTCCGTTGCAATGTAATGTCAGCCGGGGTCGCTGCAGCTGGGCACATTTGCTGCCAGGTGCCCCATCACGCGGTCCGGGGCTTCCTGCCCCCTGGAGGCGCAGCTCCCGCCAGCCAGGTGCTGCGGCATGGGGCTGGCGAGCTGCTAGAGCTTCCAAACCAGCACCCCCGTCGTTCCGCCAACAAACAAGTGAAGGAAGTGCTTGCACTGCGGCAGGGGAGTTGTGGCGCTGCACAAATAAGAGCGCCCAACTGTTGCATGCAGAGCCCTCCCTGCTGCCTGGCCCCCACGAGCACGTGCGGCGGGCTCCCGGTGCCTGCCTGCCTATCCCCTGGCGCAGCCTGACTCATGCCCCTACCTCGTACGTGACTTGGAACGCAAAGGCCTTGCCCACCACCACGTGCCAGGGCCCGCCAAAGCGCTTGTCCAACCCATCCTTGATCATCTGCTCTCACAGGCGGGGTGCCACAGTGTTCCACCCATGTCAAGTGTGTCGCTGCCTGGGGAGGTTGGTCATGGTCCTGCCCCAGTTTGTGCTCGGTGTGGTGGATTGGGAAGCAGGAGCAGCAACTCCCCACCTGCGTGCACTTCTCCAGGTCGACCGGGTGCCGCTCGCAGGCGGAGATGCACACGTCCATCGCCTCCGTCTTCATGTCCGCAGTGCAATCAGAGGACGCCACCAGCGGGTACTTGGCCATCCTGCGGGGGAAAGGACGGCAGTCGGTGGTGGAGCGACAAAACCGGCGGGGCGGCATCGCAGGTTCTGATGGCGGCACGGGCGAAGGCGCAGCGGCGGCTAGTGAATTGCCACCTGTAGAACGCCTCCATGTCCCGCTTATACTCTGGCTCCTCTGCTACAGCCACCTCCGCCATTTTTGGTCAACGCTCCGCCTCCCGACTCCCGCTGGCCCCGTTCTGGCTGCTGCCAGGGCTGTGCTGGATGCTCAATTGCCTGCTGCTGATGCCAGCCAATGCCCGGAATGCACACAAACATACGGGTCGTGCTGTGCTGCGCAGTCCAGCTGGCGGGAGGAGAACCTCCCAGAGCTGCCTTGCTCCTGCGTCTTGGCTGAAGGCTTTAAGCAGACCAGCAACTGCAAAGCACTGCACTGAGCTCGGGCCTCTGGGGTTCGCAGAGCATAGCCTCCACTCTGTGGTGAGCGCTGCGGCTCGCCCCGCGTCGGAACCCCGCCAGCAGCGATCACCGGCGTGCGCCGTCTGCCAGCGAGCGATCGCAGCAGCTGCCACTCGAACGCGCCGTCTCCGACAGCAGCGAGCTAGGACTGCACAGGCAGCAGCAGGTAGTATGTAGACGCCGCGTATGTAGACGCAGGATCGCGCAGCAGGGGGGGAGCGAAGGACGCTGCCAAGCCAGCACGTCGGGCGGCCGGCAGGGCGTGGGCGGCAGCACGCTGGCACCTGGCGCCCTTCCCTCTGCCTCGTGGCTGCTCTGTTGCTCACACCTCAACCATCGTCTGGCGTCTGCAGGCGCCCGGCAGGGTCTTTCTGGGCCTGACAGCACAGCTGCGAGGCGCTGCTCACCATGGCGGCCCGCGTGTACCTGAACATGGCCTATGTGGTGCCCCGCGCCCTGCTCTGGATCGTGCTGCTGGTGGCGGCGCTGGTGGACGGCATCCGCCACCGCGCAGTGCACAGCAGAGGGTGCGTGGCGCGGGCGGCTGGCGTCACCCCGCCGCCGCTGCCTCGCCCGCCTGCTGTGCCGTGCTTCGTCTGGTTTTCCCCACAGCCTGCCTCTCGTGCCGTGCCGTGCCGTGCCGTGCCGTCCCACCGGCCCCTGCTGCCTGCCCGCCGCCCTGCCCGCAGGTTCCAGCTGTACTGGGCGCTGGTGGGCTCCGCGGCGCTGTTTGTGGTGCAGGAGGTGGTGCTGGTGGTGCTGGCAGCGCAGAGCAGCGGGCAGAACGTGAACCACGCCACGCTGGGAGCCTACATCTTCTTCGCTGACCTGGCGGTCTCCTACTGGATGGGCATCCTGCTGCTGGTGGCCGCGGGCTTCTGGTGAGCCGCCGGCCGTCCGCTGTCGGTGGCATGCCCTCGGTCGCGCGGCACGTGCCTGCCCAAGCGCCACCACCCCCACCCCTGCCCGTCTCCCTCACCGCCTCTCCCGACCGCCGCCTGCCCGCCCCGCTGTGCCCACGTGCGCCCCGCCCTGCAGCATCAGCCGCACCAGCCTGGGCCCCCACAAGCCCGTGGCGCTCTCCATCCCCATCATCTACTTTGCCACCAGCCTGGTGGTGGACTACGTTCTTTACTGGATACGCGGCTTCGACGCCTTCACAGACCAGGTGCGCCCCTGGCACGCGGCTGGGCAAGCATGCCACCCCGCGCGCACGTGTGCGCGGGGGAGCGGCGCGCGATGCCGCACCCTTTGCCAGCTCCCGGCTGGCTCTCCTCCCCTCTGGCTGCCTCCGTATACGTGTTCACGCACCCCCACACACGTCGTCACCCCCCCTCCACCCCCCCCCCCCCCAGGACACC